ATTATTATTATTATTATTATTATTATTATTATTATTATTATTAAGGAAAGCTTCTTGGAGCTGAGCTTATGATCCTCTCTTATGTTCATGAAGCTAGATTGTCCTGCTATGTACTGTGTTTTTGATATTATTGTTATTTGTCAAGTGAGAAACTACAGAATATATCACAGAGCGTAGTGTGACTTCCCAAAATAGAATGTGTTCTTAGGACTATTTGAACTCTTGTTGCATTTACAAGTAATGACTTGGTAATTATCTGGAGAGAAAGAAATAGTCAGAGGGAATTCTCTCAAAGACCGCGGAGCTTTCTCTAACCAGATCCAAGAGAGCTTGTTAACTAGTTTATTTTACTGTGTTGTATTATTTTTTTTCCATTGCATGTACATAGCTAATTAATAGGAGAGGCTTTTTTATCAGGCAAGGTTAAACTGAATATACCTGAGCTCACAAATTCATAATCATTCGTGCTTCATACTAGATTTTGATAGGCCTTAATGTACATGTATCTGTTGATAAAGTGATGTAAACATGTTTAAATTCTCATTGTATTAGAGCTGAACGTACTATATTTACCACTTTGTTGACGTCACTTGTTGATATTATTGTTGAGTGATCATATCATTATGAACGTTGTCGATTCTCATCATAGATATTTTTGTTACAAGACAGTTTTCAACTGCTTTTCTTTTGTTTGTGGAACCCCGCCTTATGGCCGCCCCGTTAATACAGCCACCTCATTATTACAGTGAGCCACTTTGTTCTGGCCCGAAAAAAACCTTATTCAGTCATTTTCCTATTTGAAGAACCACTTTAATACGACTACCCGGTTAATGCGGCCAGATTTTTGTGGCCCGTTGGTGACCGGATTAACGTGGTTCCGCTGTACTGTAATTTTAATATTAATTACTTGACGGGGGTTATATGAAGAGGGGAAATCCGTGTTAGGTACGCACATGCCTAAATTGAATTCCTTGGCTAACAAAAACCCTGCTGTGCTGTATGAGCTCTCATTAAATATGTTTATTTTTTCAAAAAGGAAATATGCAGTTATATTGATCAGTGAACCAAGAAAGCATTATATTTACCACTTTTGTGATTGTACTTGTTGATATTATTGTTCAGTGATCGGATGAACAATGTCAATTTCCGACATTGCCATTTCTGTCACAAAACAGTTGCCATCTCTTTTTGCATTTAGGTGTAATTTGTTAAAAACTTGACAGAGGTTGTATGAAGAGGGGAACGGACATGCCTAAATTGAGTTCCTTGGCCAACAAAACCCTGCAGTGCTATATTAGCTCACATTAAACATGTTATTTGTTCAAAAAAGGAAACAAGCAGTTATATAGATCGTGAACCAAGAAAAGACCATAGCTCGCCCCAAAGAACAAATTACAGTTTACAGCCTGGCTTCCCCGGCTTAGCTTCTCCAGAGGTTTGCCCGGTTTCGGCAAGTTCCTGGGCTGAATACACTGGTAAACATAAAGAGACAGAGAACATGCTCTACACAATGCAGTGCTCAAGTCCGATACAGACCATGAAATATTTGTCCCCAGTATGACTGCACCGCATAAATACGGATAAACACATCTTGTGACATGAGTGTTACGTCTATTACCGGAACAGCTGAGCACCTTCATGGGGAACGGAAAAAAGAAGTACAACTTCTGTGATTTAAGCCAATCAGTTTCAAGTGCAATACAGTGTTTCAGCTTGAAAAAAACAGACAGCATTGTCAGTTTAAGGATCACTCTTCTATTCTTAGTACGATTTCAAAAAACCCTATTTCAGTTCTTAACTCCTCGAACATTTGTGACTTGTTTTGTAACTTTCTTATTAGTATCATGATCACGGGGATTTTGACCCAGCTAGGTCAAAATTGTGCTTTAATACCTTCACTTAGAGACTTACTGCTACAAGAAAACCAAAAGAAGAGACATGAAGAAAACATGATTATTTGTAGCCGGCACATCATTTTTGGGGAAAAATGCAAGAATTTTAAGAACATTCGCCTAAGATTTTTCAAGTTGCTTCCTCTGACATAGTCTATCTATGGTCGGAGACACGGCAACAATTTTAATACCGGCTCTACCGTCCCGCTCTTCTTAGAAAACGAGCCCGCGGGAAACAGACCCGAGAGAGCAACAGAAATTGGACTTAGGTCAAAATATGTTGTAAAATGAATGTATTTTGTGATTGTAAGGAAAGACTCTAAGAACTCA